TTTTTTGTATGTATGTACATATCATATGGTTATATAGTGTTTATCTTCAGCTTTTCGGAAATCTGCCTTGTAAAAATCATTGCAACAGCAACTTACCCCCATGATAGTGAATTAACACTACAATTAAGCGATTATCTGCAAATCAATCCATCAAAATTCAAAACTACGATACTTTCATCATTAAAACAGACGACTTTAAATAAACTACAAGCTATAAAATCTCCCAAAAAAAAATAAATAAATTAATAAACGTTTCAACTTTTAGAATTCTTTCCTTCATTACAAACTTAATTTCCGTCAAATAATTGCTGATTTTGGGAACATGAGCTATGACATCGTCTTTCCTTTTCTTGGTCCAATCCGTCTTTTGGGTAATTAAAACTTTCAAGGTGATTAAAGCGGCATATTATTTTTGGAAATGCTACATGTACATAATAAATGTACATAGAGGTGTACATAACTCTCACGTGGTGTGGGGTCCACTTGATTTTTTATTTTTGTTGGGTCCCACTCAATGTGAGTATTATGTACAACCTTACGTACACTATTATGTACTTGTAGCATTACTCATTATTTTTTACCTCGTCTTTGCGGAAACTGAACTTTTTAGACACGTGTCTGTGTCTTTAAGCCAAATAAAATCCACTACGACCCGCCTTCCGACCCAGATCCATCCTGAAATTGGCGGATAAAAAAAGGAAAATTAAGACCTGGAATCGGCCTATAAGGGCTAAGGGTGTAGTTCAAAACCCGTAAATCCAGGCTGGTTTCGAGCCTAGTTCCCAGGCCGGTTAGACCCTTGGGCATGTCTATTTTTTTACGTTTAAACTCGTTTTCTACGCACAAATTATTTTGGTAACAATCAGATATCAACAATACATATTTACTAGTACAACACCCGTGTATTACACGGGTGCTTGCTAATTATTTTCTTAAAATTTAAAATTAATGAGAAAAAATAGTTTGAAAATTTAAATACCTTTTATAAGAATATATATATTATTATATATTTATTATGATACTTTTTATATGTGCGACTTACTTGTGTTATATTATACTAATTTTTTAACTTACAATATATAACTACATTAAATATAAATATATCAATTGAGAAATAATTTTATTTTTCTAATGAATTTTAATAAATATTATTATTTTTTATTATTATAAAGATAAATATAATTTATTTATTTTATATATACAATATGGATATCAACTCGAAGATCATTAAAGATGATTAATTTGATATATTATATATGTAAAACCGATAAAAAATACAAAAATTATCTACTTTTAAAATACATTTATATTTCAATAGCTTATTGATGGAAGCAAATCAAAATTTAGGGATATATTAGTCACTTAGTGCCTCATTATGTAAAATTACAAAGAATTAAAAGGTTATATTAATAAAAGTGATATTAAAATACCTAAGTTAGCTAAATAATATTTATGGAATACCCGAACCTAGATTATTAATTATTAATATATTAATATTATTCGTCCAAACCTAATTACGAAGCATAATTCTTCGCCAAATAGGATTCCGAAGCACCAGAAGCAGCCACGTAGGCTCAACGCATTCGAGAATTATATATATGGAGGATACTATCAAAGTCATACTATTGGTTGTTTTACTTTTAATATATGATATTGTTAAATAAATATATAATTATTTATAAAAATAGTATGCTTAATAATTAAATTAATGTTACAAATGTTGGTGATCCAATTGAGTGCAGCCGGAGTCCGGCAAGGCCATTTTTAGAGGTGGCAGGAACGAACGAAACGGAGCGAAGTTCAGCTCATTCCATCCGGCAACCGCTCCTACTTCGGTTCTACCAAAATAAGACAGAAAGAGAAAGCAGTCCCACATCTGCAAGCATGAAGCCGGTGTGGAATTAGGCAGGTTAGCTGGCAAAATCACTTAACGTCAGAGGCACTTTCTTTTTTTTTTTT